TGCAATTATTGCTCTTCAACGAGGAATCCCTAGTAAGCGCAAGTCATCAGCTTGCGTTGATTACGTCCCTGCCCTTTGTACACACCGCCCGTCGCTACTACCGATTAAATGGCTCAGTGAGGCGTCCGGAGTGGCCCAGAGAGGTGGGCAACTACCACTCAGGGCCGGAAAGCTCTCCAAAATCGGTCATTTAGAGGAAGTAAAAGTCGTAACAAGGTCTCCGTTGGTGAACCAGCGGAGGGATCATTACCGAGTTTACGACAATATGAACATTCTAGGACAGGACAATTTGGTAGCAAGATGTCTAAGCCTTGTTTTGGGAATAGCCATACGTAGTATTTCTGGAGGTCGCAATGGATTCAGTACATGTACACTATTCGAGGCCCAGAATGGAGCCCATCTCTTCGTTAGTTACCATCAATTTACACTTTGTCGAATCTGGCGATATTGCTTTACGCAGGGTGCACACGGCGAGCTAGTAGAAACCCAAGCGGCGGCGTCTGCATTTGTTACAGTTATCCCTCGATGAGAAGCCCTTGACTATTCCTGTATGTTCACTTCACTCGATGAGTTTTCTCTTGCGTCTAAGTCTTGTGTTAGAATGACTGGGAGATCACGACGGGAAACCCGCAAGTAGAACATCGCCTCATCCAACCCGCATGGAACGCTAGATACCTATTAGTAGCTAAAAGTATTCTTTTTGATATGTTCTATCTAATATACGACGGTTCCCCTCCCCCATTATTGTGGATGCTTCCAATAGGTAGGTAGCCACATGCGTATGTGGCAAATGTGAGCCTGTAGATGAAATAGCTGAAGCACATATCATCTTTTTGCTTCCTAGCTTAATTATTGATAAACATTACGTCCAGAGACTGTGTAGTTTACAAAGTGTCTTCATTATAAAGGAAATCATGAAATCAATGATACTCTTCTACAATATTATTTATGGATTTACACTGGCAGAGCGTGCACAAATCCACCATCATTGCACTAGATGTAGGGTAAGAGATCGCGCCGCACTTGAAGCTTATACGCGACAATACGCACGGACCACATAAATTTCTCTCTGCCCCACTATCCAACCACAGTAAATATCAACGACTATTTTTTTTTTAAATTTTTTTTCGTCCTTCCAATTGTAAATCTTCAACCCACCAGATTTATCGCCAAGCATGCCTGCAGGCTGACAATTGTGCTATTGCTTCCGTACAGTCCAGGCACATTGCAATCATGGAGACATCCAGAATTTTTGTAAAAGGCCTTCCGCCCAATATCACAGAGGCGGATGTTCGGAAGCATTTCTCAGCCAAGAATCGCGAGATCACCGATGTCAAGCTGATCCCCCAGAGGCGCATCGGCTATGTCGGCTACAAAACACCTGAAGATGCCCAAGGGGCCGTCAAGTACTTCAACAAGTCATACATTCGTATGTCTAAGATATCCGTTGAACCAGCCAAGCCTGTAAGTACAACCCATGATGTCGCCCACCACCTGTAAACAACTTGGGCCCAACTTGTTCTAATGGAATGGTAGATCTCAGACCCAGCCCTTGATAGAGGCCAGCGATCAGTTCATTCCGATGCGCGTGTGGCGAGCAACCTTCGTCCTCATCTGAAGGAGGAGGGTGACTCTAAGAAGCGGAAGCGAGAGGATCTAGATGAATCCGATCCCAAGCTGCGAGAGTTTCTCCGCGTGATGAAGCAGGGCAAGGGGGGTGTCCTTGCGGATGAAACAAACCCTGACGCCGACATGACCGGGCTTGCCACAGGTGGAGAGGCGCTTGTTGAAGAGGGCGAGAGTGATAACGAATATGAACAAATCCCCAAGAGACAGGAGAAGCTTCGCAAGACAGAATCGTCTGAGGCGAATCAAAATATGGTGATGGACCAACGAGTACCAAGGGACGTGACTTCAGATCAGGGCGTCCAACCTGTGGCAGAAGAAATTGTAGCCGACAGTGCGAAACCCCAAGAAACCGAGGAAGCTCCTCAAATGTCGGTTGATACGACAGATGACGACTGGCTTAGGTCACGAACAAATCGACTGTTAGATCTGGTTGACCCTGACGACCTTCCCCAGCCTGCTGAACAGGGAGCTGTTGATGAGGCCGTGCGGAATGACGGAGAGAACAATAACACAGCGCATTCCTCCCATGAAGCTGTCATGGAAGACTCCCCGGACCAAGCAAACGATCAGGGAGCAAACTCTACTGCTGCAGATGATCCGATTGCCACCATTTCGCGGACGTCCCGGCTTTTTGTCCGAAACCTTCCTTATACTGCTACGGAAGAAGATCTCCATCAGAAGTTTGGAGAGTTTGGCACTTTACAAGAGGTAAGACGATTCAAATCTCATGTTTCTTTTGTGTGAAAAAAAAAAAAAACAGGCAACGTGATGAACCCCAAGATAGGGACATCTTATGCTTCTGCATGTGATGAGAACCTGGGCGATTATTTTAGTAGATGCTTCGATCTTCTGACCTCCTGTCCAAATTTCAAAAGAATTTTTTTTGTCATCTATGTATTGCTGGACAGATGGCTAACTTAGTCAGGTACATTTGCCGACCAATGCTTCTGGAGTTCGCAAGGGATTTGCGTTGGTGCTCTTCGACGATTCATCCGATGCTGTGAAAGCATTCCAAGCTCTCGATGGGGTAACTTTTCAGGGGCGCATATTGCACATCATTCCTGCCGAAGCCAAAAAGCTTCAGGACGAGTTTGGAATGTCAAAATTACCCCTGAAGAAACAAAACTTGATACGCAAAAAAGTTGAGGCATCAACAAGCGTTTTCAACTGGAATTCGCTTTACATGAGCCAGGACGCCGTCAACGCCTCCGTTGCGGCGCGTTTGGGTGTCTCAAAATCTGAAGTGCTAGATCCCACATCTGCCGATGCGGGTGTCAAGCAAGCTATCGCGGAAACGACGATCATCCAGGAGACGAAGGCTTTTTTTGCTTCCAACGGCGTGGACTTGGACGCCTTCAAATCACACAAGCGTGGTGGGACGTCCATTCTCGTTAAGAACTTTCCGTACGGAACTTCTATGGAAGAACTCCGGAAAATGTTTGAGGAGTGCGGCCCAGTTCTCAGAGTTCTCATGCCCCCGACTGGCACCATTGCCATCATCCAATTCGCCCAGTTGAACCATGCAAAGGCCGCATTTGGCAAGATGGCGTACCGTCGAGTCAAAGACAGCGTCCTTTTCTTGGAGAAGGCGCCAATCGATCTCTTCAAGAACGGCTCCACTCCTGTGGATCAAGCTAGCCTGCTTGGGGAGCAGCGCACGGGTGTCCAAAAGCTGAGCGTGGACGACTTGCTGTCGAGCGGCGATAAGGTGGAGGAGCCTGCGGAAACCGCATCGCTCTTTGTCCGCAATTTAAACTTTGCCACGACAACCAACAGACTGGCAGAAGCTTTTGAACCTCTTGACGGATTCGTCTCCGCTCGTGTCAAGACAAAAATAGACGCCAAAAAACCTGGCCAGACCCTCAGCATGGGCTTTGGCTTTGTAGAGTTTCGGTCTAAGAGTCAGGCTCAGGCGGCTCTCAAGACCATGGATGGCTACGTCTTGGATGGTCATACGCTGAGTGTGAAAGCCTCGCACAGGGGTCACGACGCCGCTGAGGAGAGACGGCGCGAGGACGTGGCTAAGAAGGCTGCGGCTCAGAGAACCAAGATCGTCATCAAGAACCTGCCTTTCCAAGCCACAAAGAAAGACATCCGGACTCTATTTGGTACTTATGGCCAACTTAGGAGCGTTCGCGTTCCAAAGAAGGCAGACTATACCGCAAGAGGTTTTGCATTTGCTGATTTTGTGACCCCTCGAGAGGCAGAGAATGCGCTAAATGCATTGAAGGATACCCACCTACTTGGGCGGCGACTAGTATTAGACTTTGCTGCCGCTGAGGCTGTCGATGCTGAGGAAGAGATCGAGAAGATGCAGCGCAAGGTAGGGGGCCAGGCCAATAAAATGGCCCTTCAGCAGCTTACTGGAGGAGGGAGGAAAAGGGTTACTATTGGCAATGACGAGGATGAGCTCGAGGCTTAAGGTAAAAAGGCAAAGCAAAACTATATTCACTGCCTGTGTTGCACTGACAAGGCTGAGCTGTGCCCTAGCCCACGCTCTATTGAGCATAGGAAACCATCCCTTGGCAAGGGGAGGGGGTGTGTTCCCATTGTCGAACTTCTACAACGGCTCTCTCCACGCGCATCGCGTGGGGTCATCAGCTGTCCGGGATCTTCAGCGAAGAATTCAAGTTTCGCGATGCCCAGGGGCCATCACCGCGCAGTGTTTGATGTTAATATCGTTCTACATACCTGGAGAAGCGCACCTAAGATGGATGATCTGGTGCGCATGTGTCCGGGGAGGAGGGTGGGTGAGACCATGGCGTCCTGGCCCCGCCTTCAGACTCCTCCCTTGCATGCCCAACGCCCCTCGTAACAGACCTCACGCTGCCATGTGCTGGTGGGCGTCCTAGCTGTGCTTCATTGGTTCATAGAGAGTGGTGTTCATGGACGTAGAGTTGCCGCCCCGTTAAGAGATGCCTGGCCGGGTCCCCACCCCCGCTGCGCCAGCTCCCATGTCCCATGTCACATCTTAGATGCTTTGCAGATGGATGAAATCTTGATAGCTTAGAAGCATGTATCTTTTTCTTGGGTTGGAGGGGCCAAAAGACAAGCTGCTAACCACCCCCGTCCTCCCCTTTGTCAATACAATCCGTTGGCCCTGCCCATACCCTCCCGAGTCTCGAGTCTATATGTTATCGACTCTCTCCTTTGGCTTTGGAAGACATGTTCGTTCCAATGGCTGTTCTTTTGCCTCGTACAAAGCTTACACTCATCCCACCATTCCTCGTCCCGAATTCCTTCCCACATTTCTCATCCATCAGACTCTGCTTTTTTTTTCCATCAACGACTTGGTCTGTGGCTTTTGGGTTGAGCTGAGCTTTTGAACATCTCTTTGTCGGGCATTCCTTGCCTCTCATCGGGCCTCTATCATGCCATCCATCTACCACCAGCCGAGGCCAGTCCTCCCCTCACAGGGGATGCCGCATGCTTCAGAGTATATGGACGCAAGGCGAGGCGTTAACGGTATTCGCCAGCCTCTGCGGGAGGCCGCTGGTAATGCTCAGGCGCATAGCTTCAATAGCAACATCCCATGTTATCAGACTCCTCCTGTATCTTCGATACCACCAACCATTCCTACTCATATAGTTCCATCCCAATCTATCGAGGTTCTCTACTCTAGGCTTCAAGCACCTCGTCACCAGCCCCGACAAACTCGCAAAGGCCGACAGGAGATCAACCCTCTCTACTTTTGTCCAGCTTTCAAACAGTACCGCAACAGACAAGCTCACAAAGACACTCAAAAAGACAAAGGAGGCGTTTGGAGACGCCCCGAACTTGAAGATGCCTTTGTTGACTGTAAGTCCCTTCCAAGTCCACCTCTTTCAGGAAGCTGACAACCGTCATCTAGCGGTACTCCTCATGCCTCACATGGGCCGGCGGAAGTTTTCCATGGCCGGAAAGCTGCATGGCCGGAATATGCTGATTAGCGAGTACATCTTCGTCATCTGCGTGGAGCTCCTTGGTAGCAAAGAAATCTTTCGCATCGACAACAGCAGTGACAGCATTGAGCAAATGGGACGCAAACAAGTGTCCAGTCACATGCAAGTAGTCAAGAAATTTTTCGAAGATTTACGATGCTGTAGGTGCATTCCATATTCTTGTGAAAGCTGGCTGGCTAATTGACCTCTGTCTCCCACTTTTAGTTCACTTTCTTTTCCCTTCTGAGGAGAAAAAGGAACCTGGTTCCACTAATTCTGACGATTATTACGACGAAGAGGAGCAAGAGTCGTTCAAGTCCAACCCCATCTTGACGGCGTTGGCTGAAGGCAGGGTGCCGGATGTGAGACCAAACTACGACTATTTTAATCAGCTATTGTCACTGCAGAAATTGATCACAGTACGTCCCAAGACGTGTGAGCTCCTCGTGTCTTCGGCAGAGATTGAAATCCGCGACGATGTTGCGTATGACGCACACAATACGCCCTTGGACCAGGACTCGTTTCCTCATCTGAAAAAATATACGAATCACGAAGACTTCCCCGATGCTCTCGGTAAAGATGTCTTACTCCATGAGTACACCAGAGCCCTAGACCAGGCCACATCAGCATGCGCGAAGACGGTGACTCGACGATGGGCAAAGGATGCGCCGGCCATGCATGAGACACTGGACCTGCCAACGGAGGACGAGGACTGCCTTCTTTTGGAAATATGTTCGACCTTGGAGCTGCACGAACACGCAAAGTTCCCCCAGGGGTCAGAGCTCACTGGATTTGTCGAGGTGGCCATCACGCAGCCTCACCTGCATCATCACCACTGGAAGTGCGTTACCCGATTGACCCGACCAGATGAGTTGTACAGCGACGACGCAAAGCGCGGCGTTTACACCAATGAGAGCGGCATCCACCATCGGGGATGCAGCGATTCTAAAAATGACTGCAGCTGCCACCTGCGGCCCCGGCAGGATATCCACGTGCCTTTCCCTGCTGTGGAGTGGGCCAGCATTTTGAGCACAGCCGTGCAATATCCTGATGTGGAGCACCAACGAAAGAAGGAGAAGCGCCATGAACCAAAGAAGCACGAGCTGGAGAGGACCGGCAGTAAGCGAAAGAGATCTGAGGACGAGGGAGATGCGGCTTCATGGGGCCGCCGAGAGCCAACAGGCAGCGATCTGATCTGCAAGGTTGCCATGTATCAAGAGCTATGGTCCCGCGCGCCAGACTCACCGCAGTGGAAGCGACAGGCCATCATCTTCTGGCGCTTCAACACCACCAACCAGTGGTACAAGTACAACCCAGTCTTCAAGCCGTCGGGAACATCATGGCGATGGCTGACGATCAACGACCCCATGTCGCGGTACCACCAGCAAAAGGCCTTGGTATACCCTTCGGCCAACATGTCGAGAGATGTCGTCATGTCACCGACACCAAGCATGAGCCAGCAGCTCACGGGCATCATGGCTGGGAATCTGAGCTCGGCATGGGACAGCGCTTCAGGCGTTGCGCCAGTGCCACCCGTGCAAACAAACATCAACGTGTTTGACTTTCCGGGAGGACTGGCGACGCCGCCACCAACAGCGACCATCCATGGCCCTTATGCGGGCGGGAGCTTTAACCCCAGCATGGGTGCCAATCCAGATGTGAACAGCTACCTGCCAACGGTAGGCACAGCCGTGGGCGGGCCAGCCAGTGACCGTTCACACTCCTTGTCGTTGGCTACCGGGCCCTCGTACTTTGAGGGGCCAGCAGGCTTTGCGGATATGAAGCCACTGTCAACGGCTAGTGTCAACCAATTCCTACCCCATACCACGTCGCTGGACCCGTCCACTCAACTTGTCTACGACGACGCGACCGGCCTCCAGGGCTGGGACATGCCGGCTCTGGATAGCTGGCCCGGCGCACCTACCTCCACTCCCACGGGCAACGAATGGAGCACAGCGCCCTCGGCGCAGCCCAGAGCGGATCCGGGCGACCACTCGGGACTATGGAACCCAAGCCCATGGCACATCACAAGTGTCACAACACCATCATCTGCGGTTGGGGCTGAGCACGACGACAGCCCTAGATCAATGAAGAGGCGGCGGACAGAGCCTGCACTAAACGCACATGTTCTTATGCCTCCGAGTGAATATCATGCCAATTTCTAGAGACTACGGGTTACGGGATTTTACGGAAAAGGGGAATTGAGGCTTGAATAATGTTTTATTAGGGTGCTATGGGCTGGAGTTACTCGAACTTGCGGAAACCGTCTACAGCCGGCAAGAGAAGGCAAGATGCAAAAAAAATTGACTGGTGGATACCCCATTTCACATGCAGGGCACATGCTATTTGAGTGATTATCGGATAAAGGAGTTATTTTGGGAATAACAAAAACGAGGCGTCGAGGCGTTTGCAGTGTCTTGGGGGGACTCCTTGGCGAAACTGGGGGTGGGATATGTTGGGTTGGCTGGCATTGGACAGTTTTTCTTAGACACAAGCACGAGTAATAATAAAACATGTGTGTTGTGAGCATACACTATACACCTTGGCCCCGACGCAGTGATTGGATGGATGAGGAAAAGCACCTTGTTCAGTGACAGGCCTTTTGCATCTGTGGCTGAATTTTTTGTCTCTCCTGCGCGCCAATCAACGTGGTATACAACTAGATGTGGAACTTTGGGCAACATATGACCGTTTGCGGCAATGCGTAGACTACGTAACATGTCTCATATCGAGAAGTTGGAGAAATCTTCCGTGGTGGCGGCGGGAAGGATGAAAGAAGAAACGCGGAAACAAAAAAAAGTTCTCACGACGCTTTGACCACGAGCTGGGATCAAAAGATCAAGTGGCCATGACAAAGAAAAAGGGTGTCCGTCTAAGGGAATGACAAGGCTACCTTTAGTTCCCTCCCCCTTGTGCTTCTCTCTTCCTCTTTCCGTGCCGTGTGTGTATCCGGGAAGAGAAGTCTCAGGAACACTATGTAGACTATTTAAGGGAGAGCTGCGTATATTGATCAAGGGAACATGGTAAAGTGGTTTTTGAGACACGTTTTGCGGGAAACATATATAGGAGACCGAAATCCCTCTTTTCTTTGTTCTTTTTTTTTTTTTTCCTTTTTTTGAAGGGACTGTCTATTTGGAATGAGGAGGAAGGGATAGGCAATTATTGACTGCGGTATTGAACAATGATTTTGGTGAAGGAATGAGAGAAAGTGAACGTATGAGTGGGTGGGTGAGTGAGTGAGTGAGAGGAAGACATTTGTAGATTTGAGAGATCGGAGCTATTGACTGCGACAGGGCGTCTCTCGATTATGCCGAGTGACTTTTGGCTTGTGACTGGTAGCACGAGCAAGTCAATCGGCGATAACTGGACGTTACGGCGTGCCAAGATTGTGCCAGCTTCTGTAATACCTGCCAAGTACACCCGTAGAAAATACAAATTTTCGGCATGTTGTTCGGTGTACCTTATGATGGAGGCACATGTCCATGTACGTACCTGCTTTCCTATTGGAGTAATGCTGCCTTGGTGAGATGTTGATCCTTTTGATGCCTGGCAGCCCCGCACCTGGAGCAACGTTGTAAATAGCATCGCCTCTTGAGGCTGAAAAGCAAGCTGAACATAATCACATTTCTTTTTCTTGCCACTCATCGGCGTATCCCGCGCTGTTGGCTTCTGAAGGCGTCGGAGTATAGGCGCACGCACTGGCTCTGAGTCGGCATGGGCGGCCCTCCAGGGGTCTCGGCCAGCGTCGTCGCCGTGCTGCAGCTCGCAACGACCGCCACGCAGTATCTCAAGGACGTCAGGAGCGGGACGGCCGAGAGGACGCGGCTCCGAGACGAGCTCCGAAGCACGGTGTGCCTGCTGGAGATGCTGCAGGACCGCCTGGAGGATGAAGATGGCAGCGTGGACGACTCGAGCACGCTGAGGCCGCAGGCTGTCGATTTGTTGAGCGGCGCGGATGGGCCACTGCAGCTGTTCCAGCAAGCTCTGGAAGAAATCATCCGCGAGCTTGCTCCTCAGGATAAGCTGAGGCGGAGGGCACAGCCGTTTACGTGGCCGTTTGACAAGAAGAAGGTGGCAGAGCTGCTTGCGTGCTTGGAACGATTGAAGAGCCACTTCAACCTCGTTTTGCAGAACAATATTGCGTATATGAACTTGTACTCGCTGCCATTGTAGCCTAAGTTTTGTGCTAATTGAATGCTAGACAACTGGCGAGATCGGCAAACCTCAAGCTTGATAGACTTGCCGACAATGTAGAAAGCTCGGAAGCGAGATCGCGAGATGCAGATACACAAAAGATAATCAATTGGCTCAGTCCAGTGTCTTTTCGGGCTAGACATGTCAGTGTTTTGGAGAGCGTGCAGCCTGGGACTGGCGCCTGGTTGTTAGAACATGAGGTTTTTCGTGACTGGGTGAATGGCAATACTGGAACTCTCTGGTGTCCGGGTATACGTCAGTTTTTATAAGCCCAAGGCCTTTCTTACTGTGAAACGCTGACTTTAAGTGTACAGCTGGAGCTGGCAAGACAAGACTCTTGTATGTCACCATTTTATATTCATGATAAGATAGGTAGTTACTTACATACTCATAAGGTCCTTGGTCGTCAACCACCTCGAACAAGAGCCACCCCACGCACGCAGCTTCTGCTCATACATCTACTGCGACTACAGACAACGCAGCAGCCAGTCAAGTGCTGCTCTCCTTTCAAGTATTCTTCAGCAAGTGCTTCAGAGTTCAGCTGAAGTGTTGCCATCCGAAGTAGCAACGCTGTATAGCCAGCATCAGAAATACAACACTCGTCCTACCTTGACGCAGATTGCTGATATACTTGGCAAGATAGTTTCAACGTTTGAATCATTCCATGTCATCATCGACGCTCTTGACGAGTGTGCAGAGTCAAATGAAGAGGCTCTCCGATTTGTCACGGCAGTTTCCTCTTTGGGTTCATCAGTGAAGATAATGTGCACATCTAGATCTTCTAGCAGATTCGACGCCTATTTCAGTGAAGCATTGACAATAAAGATTTCTGCTCATCATGACGATATTCGCACTTTTCTGGATGCGTGTATACAAGAACAGCATCTACTCTCAAAACATGTTCGGAAAGATCCCACCTTGAAAGACGATATCATCAGAACCATCATCCAAGAATCTCAGGGGATGTAAGTTGAGCGCTTGAGCATGCAATACCAGCTTACAAGAAATGCTCTGCTAACCACAACCCTGATAGGTTCTTATTGGCAAAACTACACATGAATTCACTATCAAAGAAGCTTAGCTGCCGAGAGGTGCGCGCTACATTGAAATCCCTACCAAAAACTCTAGATGCCATGTACGCAGACGCATATGAGAGGATAGAAAATCAAGAAACAGAATTCGCTGAGCTGGCTGAGGCAGTCCTATTCTGGATCGTTTGTGCCAGAAGAAACTTTACAGTCCAAGACTTGCAACATCTCTATGCCACACAAGAATTGCCAGACGGAGAATCACTCGAAGAAGATGATTTGCCAGATGGCGATATTTTAACGGAAGCTTGCAGCGGATTGGTCATGGTTGATGCGGAATCGCAAGTCGTCCGTCTAGTGCACTATACCGCTCAGCAATACTTTGAGGAATATCACAAACTGTTGATCAAAAGGGCACAGCTGACTCTGACAAGAACCAGTCTGACATATCTAGCACTGCCCAACTTTTCCAGTGGCGCCTGCACAAATGATGTCGACATGTCTCTCCGTTTGAAGCAATATCCGTTCCTTGATTACGCTGCCAAATACTGGGGTGCCGAAATTGTTCATATCGAGAGTGCCGAAGTTATACCAAAACTAGAAAGCTTCATCTCCAACACTGCCGCGTTGGAGGCTGCCAATCAAGCATGGAGTTTGAAGCCTAATTGGTATACACATTGGAGCCAGGAGTTCCCTAGACATGTACCTGCACTCGTGATGATCTCTGCTTTTGAAGTGTCGGATGTTCTGAGATACATGGTCTCAAAAGGCCATGCAGTTGACGACAGAGGCAGCGATGGGGAAACGGCTCTAATTCGTTCTGCTGCCTTTGGCCACGCCCAGAACGTGCAAGTGCTTCTTGATCTCGGCGCCGAAGTTGATGCTCGAGATCACATGGATGAGACCGCGCTGCAGAGAGCAGCAAGATGCGGGTATGAGGATGTGATCAATGTCTTGCTCGATAAAGGAGCAGACGTCAACTTGAGAGCATCCGGTAACTGGACTGCGCTCATGTCTGCAGTCTCTAGCGCCAACATTGAGGCCGTCAAAATCTTGGTCGAAGCGGGAGCCGACTTCAAAGCGGAAACGGTATGGGGAGATTCGGCCTTGAGCATTGCAACGCGCAATGGTCTGGAAGCCATTGCCGATTTCCTCTCGGATCAGGGGGCAGTTCTCCCCAAGGGTCCCGCTGGGCGTCGTGCTTCTCTCATTGCCTCGCGCAAAGGTCTGCACCAGCTCGTCCGGAAACTCACGGCCAATTATGATACTGTTGCCGACAAGCCCCTGCGGCGGCAAAGCTCGAGACTCATGGAAGGGTTGAATGCCATTCAAGAGGATGAAATAGCAGCGTCTAGTATAACGAGACCCGAGGCACTGGGAGCAGACCCCGGAGCAGACGAATCCAGAACGGATGACTTCTTGGATGCGTTGGAAGAGACAAGCTACAACACTGGTTTCTTTAATCGTTATAATATGGTTGAAAGACTTGGCAGAGGTCACTTTGCCAATGTGTATTTATGCTCAAGCAGAGTGACGGGGGTGAGGCACGCAGTCAAGGTATGTATATGCGCTAATGTAGTAGAAGATGCCGCAGTACGAAGTGGCATCATTTGGGAGATCAAAGCCCTGCAGGCGCTCCAAAAGAATCCGCATCCGAACATCTTGAGGATTGTTGATTTATTCGCGGACTACTCTCTCAAGACGATTTACTTGGTGCTGGAGCTGGCCCCGCGGGGGGAGCTTTTCAACTATATTGTGGCAAGGCAGTCTTTATCGGAAGAACAGACGCGAAAGATATTCTTGCAGGTGTTTTCCGCGCTAGAATATATGGTTAGTTTCTCTTTAGCCGCTGCAAACATCCATGTGTCGAGATCTAATGATAGAGGTAGCATGGCCTGGGATGGATGCATCGTGATATCAAACCGGAGAACATCCTGTTACTGGAGGAAGAGACGCCAACTATCAAAATTGCAGACTTTGGGTTGGCAAAGAAACTTGGCGCCGAAGCTGAAGCTTTGGGGCTCACGATGACCCTTTGTGGAACACCAAGCTGTACGATACCCTGATACTCTCTCTCCTGCACATCTTATCTATCCCCCCCCCCCAGGTCATGGAACAGAACATCTGCTGACATCTTTACTCCTAGATGTTGCCCCCGAGGTACTTGATGTAGACGGAGAGAGGAAATACGGAATCTCGGTAGATATCTGGTCCTGCGGCGTCGTCATGTACATCTGTCTATGTGGCTTCCCGCCCTTTAGCGACGAATTGCACAGCGAAGACTTTCCCTACACGCTCGCCCAGCAAATCAAGGGGGGCCGATTCGACTATCCATCGCCGTACTGGGACAAGGTCGGTGACCCGGCCTTGGATCTGATCGATAACATGCTGGTGGTGGATGTTAGAAGGCGGTTCACGGCCAGGCAGTGTCTGGAGCATCCGTGGATGCGAGAGGTGATGCCGCGGATACTGGCGGAGCCGATTAGGTCGGCAAGTCCGGAGCCAATGTGAAATTTACGGTGGACAGAGAGTTGGATTTGCTTTCTATTGGAATTGGAGGAGCGTCTGGTCTGACTGTTGACGCTCAGGTCGATGGATGGTGTAGCGGAGTGGAGAGAGTTGCGGGTAACACGGCTTCAGTTGCCGCGTTAACTGTACTTTAGAAGTTTCTTTTTCTTTCTTCCTCTTGCATATTTGATATTTTTGGAGTTTAGACCAGAAGAAGCAAAAGTAGACGGCGGGAAAGATTGGGTGGTAGTAAATATCTACGTAGGTGCTTTGGCTATGGAGAGCTTGCACTACTGGGCATTGGGTACGTGAACTCGCAAAGAGGCGAAAAACTATCTACATCTTACCTCAATAGCGCATTACTCGCATCTGATCCCATGCTCAGAGAGAAGAAGCGCGGCCGCGGCTAAGCGGAATGCTACGCCGATGTTGTATGAGTCGATTCGCGTGTGTTACTGAACAGGGAACAGGGAACAGGGAAGCGCAGATTAAGCGCCTGTGAGACAAGGGTCGAGGACAAAGAAATGAAACGAGACGGCGGACAAAAGATAAAGTACAAATTGGGGCATTTGAGTACAAGCCCTCAGGCGTCCATCCACGTTGCGTCAATTCGATGATGGTTGTGGGGAGTCTGGAAGAGTGTCAGATGCGAATATGTGAAGCAGCAACTCATGCACGATGATGCAAGCAACTGTGGCACTGAATCCACTGGGCTGCATCGAAGAAAGAGCCCGAAAGAGAAATGAAAAGATTTTGCTTCAAAGTGTGTGCCGCAGCCGAAATCTGCTGATCGAATGATTGCAATGGCCGGTTTCCTGTTTATATTGGAGAGCGTTTGAGGTCCGAGGTGGTCGGCAGTGGCGGCGAATGAGAGCCAGTCGCTTGGATCGAGGCGGGCAAGGCTAAACAACGACGGCCGATATGCGCGGCGCTTAGGCAAATTAATGGGCCTGGGCCGCTGGAGCATGTACATGGTAATTAATTTTGAGCAATAACAACGTACTGTTGTCCTAGGTATGCATCTCACGGCAATTAATGAGGCTGTTTCCGAAATTGCTTGCATGTACCTGTTCTGCGAGTTGCTGGTGCGCAGGTACATACATGGTCCTGTACATGGTCCAGCTCAAGGCCTGTACCACTGTCGGATCTTGATGCTGCCGCAAACATGAACCGACCGCTCACTTCTTGTGCGTCTCCCAATCTGCTACGGCCAACTCGCGTCTGCTGAAACGAGGGCCTCGAAATGGCCTCTTAACCAATGGCCCTCTGCTATAACCAGCATCTGCTGACTGACTAACAATTGGCTCTATCTTGCTCTGCTTCTGCTCTGCCTCTGCTCTGATCTCTCTGTTCTATTCTCGGCTGCACTGCCCGGCGTCTGTCTCATGTCCGACCATGACCAGCGGCCATCTGATGCTGTACGATGGCGTGTCGATGATAGGCTACCGTTGAAGCCAGCTGGCGCGGTGGGATGCTTCAGCTTGAGAATCGTGTGCTTTTTCCGCCATGTTTATGTTGAGATTCGTGTCATCAGGGCATATATTAGTCCCACCTGCTTTGCGTCTTTGCGGCTGAACATCTGTCATATATCATCCCATTTCCTCTGTCTCTAATTCAAGTCACCTTAACTTTGCATTTCAGTTTGACTATTGTGCCTGTTTGCCTATTGTGTGTCGGCTGATTGTCGCAACTTCCGATTGTTTGAGCTTGTGAGACAATACTGATGATGGCAAGGTGACAGAAGACTTTTTTCCTTTTTTCCTTTTTCCTTTTCCTATAATTCTCATCTTCCTTTCTATCTGGAAATATTCAAGACTATCTCAACTTTTTACCCAACTCTCTTCAATTCACTGGGCCTGAACGACGCTGGACGTGATTCACCCTCTTCCTTCGACATCCTCGACAAAGACTCTCGGCTCCATCGCATTACATCTTCGAACTATCTGAGTGAACACAGAGATACACAAAAACAGAAACCCACAAACAACACGTTTGAACACGGTGTTGCAGTGCTGCTCACGGATACGAAAGAAAAAAGTGGAAATAAAAGAAAAAGGCAACAGCTGTTCACCACCTGAACACCAATTATTCTTCGAGTGTTATAAGCAGACGGACCGGTCTCCACGTCTTCGCCAGCTGGCAGTCTATATTTACACCCTCTCAACTTCGCCTTTTCTCTCTTTCTCTTCTTCCAAAAACAAAAACAATAACAAACTTCATCACGGTCGCATTTTGGTTCTGCTTCTTCTCCTGGCGAGATTTAAACAAGCACTTCACTCCTTGATATCGTCTTCCGACTCGGTCCTTACCTGTTCGACAGTTACGAAAGCAACAACACAGTCACTCCCTCGATTTTCCATTCAAGAATTTCCATTTCTCCGGCTATTCAATACGCGACTTTACAATGTTGAGAATGACGCCCAAGCCTCGCGTTGGCCTCAAGGTGGCTCTGGTCTTGGCCCTCGCCGCCGCCGCCAATGCTCACTCCTGGGTTGAGTACGCCTACAAGGTCGCCCCGAACGGCACCATGATTGGAGCTGAGGGCTATGCCCGTGGCTGGATTGCTCGCACTTCGACCGACCCGCTTTGGCAAGACAAGATTCCCCAGCTGCTTCTGCCGGTGACCGGCCAGAGTGCCTACTCGGGTGATGAGATCCTGAACAAGTACAAGAAGGAGGAGAATCCTCAGTTCCCTATGCTGGAAGCCGCTCCGGGCGACCACATAGCCCTCATCCACCTGGAGAACGGCCACACGACGCTGCCGCAGAACCAGCCCAAGAAGCCACAGAACCGCGGCACCATCTTCCTCTACGGCACCAGCCAGCCCAACGAGAACGAGCGCCTCTTTGACGTGCACCTTGTCTGGAACAAGGACGGCACGGGAGGCGACAAGCGCGGCGTTCTGCTGGGAACGCGAAGCTACGACGACGGCAATTGCTATCAGCCCAACAATGGCGCTCTCAGCATTGAACGAGCCGCCAGACTGGCCCCTGAGGGTGCCGACCACAACACTGAGCTCGGCTGCCAATCCACCATCCAGCTGCCCAGCGACCTCAAAGCCGGCTCCATCTACACAATCTACTGGTACTGGGACTGGCCCGACCTGGATGCCACCAACATCGACTTCCAGGCGACCAAGAATGGCCTGTACCCCTGGGCCGGCACATTCATGCGCGGCGAGAAGGACCCCCACGGCTTCACCATGGCTGCCATTTCCAAAAACGAGAGCTACGCCAGCACCATCGATATCAAGATCACTGGCGGCTCGTCTTCCGCCAAGCACGCCGACATCAAGGGCGAGTTTATCGAAAAGCAAAACATCTACTCTGCGGCCATCAAGGACCAGATGGTCGGCAACTTCCAGGTCGACATTGATGCCAATGGAGGAGGCAAAGGCGGTCCTGGCGCAACTCCCGTCACTTCTACTTCAGCTGCTCCTCACGAGGCTCATACCTCGGCAGCTGCCACCAAATCAGCTGCCAGGCAAGGCATCGCCCAGCCATCAGCCGCTTCAAGTGGCAATGCTCCCGAGCAGCCGTCAACGGTCTGGAAGACTCTCCACAAGACTGCGTCTGCTGCGTCTCCGCCTGCTTCGAGCCCTGTTGTCGTTGTGACAACTACAATCCACACCCACGCTGCTGCGGCTTCGCACACGCCTTCGACCACAACCATCATCTCGACTACTACCCTAGCGGTGACTTCAACTCGCATTGGCGATGCTCAGGTCGCTGCTCCAACTGTTGTTGTGTCTGTTACCAAGCATGTGCCCGCCGCACGAGTTGGTGAGCCGACGCCGACCACGTTGAACGACCGCCCAACTGTGACGCCGTTCAACCGACGCCGTAACTGGGCTTTTGGCCAGCATTGAGTGTCAGCTGGCTCGATTTGAATGGTATCTTGTGATGGAGTGCGAGCGCGGGAGGGAGAGATGGGTTCAATCATTTGATCTTTCTCTTTTCCATTACAAACTTTGCCATATCCAGTCATTTCTTTCCTACTTCCTATTTCTTATAAGTATCTATCACTGCATTTTCGATAAAGGGAGGCTTCAGGCCAAAAATACCATTCGGGCAGGCTCACGGAATTTGATTTCATATGGTTTGGCATTTAACGGAAATGGGTATATGGGAGGGAAGTTATGGGCGGTTTGACAAATCCCTGTCGTTTTAGGCTTTTCCAGTTCACGGTCTTTTTATTCACACAAGAAAAAAAGTCATTTGGCGCTCTATCTATGAGGCCTGGATATGCCTGACTTGATATGACATGACATGACATGACATGACTTTCTCTTTTTGTTTCGGGATTCTTTGCTCTCTTTTGACTGATTATTCATTCGTTTTCAGAGACTGCGGCATGCATTTCAACATTTTACGTCCGGTTAGGTAAGGCGTTGAGTATGCTCGATGATACCACTGGAGGGGATCTACTTGCATTTAGTTTTCTAGTTTCTGCCTTGTCTTTTATTCACGAGTTACGTTAAATAGCTGCTTCAATATACTATACTATATAACCACTATACCATTCTTTGTATCATGCATAATCCATCACAACGGTGTGCTCTGTAATGAACTTCGCAAACAAATGATGTATCCTTGTAAAAATGAATACAAAATCCCATTGCAATAGTCTCATCCGCATAAAGATTTTTCTAGACTCATTTTTACATTCCATTTTCTTTCCAAACTTTTGAGTATCCGTTCACGGAAAAGGGACTAAATTTACACCTCTCTGTGGCTTACAAGGCTTGCGGAAGCCGGGAGGCTTGTACACAACGCCACGAAACAGGTACGCAAGACGCCTTCACAAAGGTTAAATAACATCAAACGAGATCGAAGTACCAATGGAAATCCACATAAAATAAACTCGTGAAAATTTTTCTTTCATCTCTTCTTTCGAATTGACCCACCGCCAAAGCAAGATGTAATGGATGGCATGATGATGATGGAAGAAGAGACCGAAAGATCCGATGGTATTTTTTTTTTACTTTTCTCCCCATTCACATCTTTTATGGATCTTGTTTCTATATATTATATAGAAATGATGTAAAAGAGGACTTGATGCAAGTGGCTTGTGGTAAAACAAATAACGCATTCATCAAGATTGTTGGAAGTGAATTACATGTACAAATTCTATGGACCTCGTACATGTACTACGAATGCATAACGAGATTTGAATCTCTAGAAAGTCAAAGCCTTTCCGAGATGTGTTGATATTACGTATAGCTGGCGCAATGGCTTCGGACACCTGCTGATTTATCTCTCTCTATCATCAAGACTTTAAGTGATACCGCTAGTAAAGGCAGAAGCCGCGTAATGTAGCTGCATTGGCTCAAAGAAAGATGAAACGAAGCCGCCGGATTGTCTCAAATTGCCTAGTGGCTGTTGAAAGATCGAGTCAGTCCATGGCATTAATCACGCATCAACTAAGCATCAGCCTCCCAGTCTCATGCTATTCTCCTCTAGATCATTTTCTCTGTCTCTATCGACTGAGCTGAGAAATCAAGTGTGAAGCTAGCTCCGCTGCCATGGCGGCTAAACGCTGATTGTCGCTGGGATTAATCCGCATATTGTGAAATCCGGAACCCACCCGGGAGGAGGGGAAAGCAAAAGCGGATCTTTCAAGAATGGTCACGCTGCACGGCAAGGCCCTGTTTTGCGTATACATGCGTGTGATGATGGGGAGATTTGGAAGAAGGAAAATAATAATTTGATATTGCCCCGAGGGCCGTCGGCTTGCTGCAACTCCGGGAAAGACTAGCGGAGTTTTGGTTCTAGGATAGAACTAAAGGAAAAAGAAGCAAAAGAGAGCTAAGTTGGTGACACATTTATGGAGTACAGCGAGGCTTAGCTGGTGCTGGGTTTTGGGAGCTTGTGAGCAGGATTAGGTAATGCCAACAGAGTCGTATTGGTGTATCTCAGGCTGGGCATCACAAGATTCTACATTGAGGATACAAGATAGATAAGAAGAGGTAGAAGAAGAGGTCATGCATGCGTCAAGAGAGAGGGATTATGAGGCTATTTTGCGTTTGGGCAATCCCATCGCCAATTTGTCACGCTTAGGTGTCATCCTCAGTTGAGGCGGTGCAAGTGCAACTAGCATCATCATCAGCATCTGTCGGTCTGGAAAGGAAAGGCGGTGATTTGCAACATGCTGGACTTTGCTTGTAGATGGCAATCATTTACAGATGACTGGTGTTGTAGTATTCTCCTTGTTGTACTCCTTTGAGCATTATCTTCTATTTTGCTTTTGCTTTTGGGAGATGTTATTCAGCACCCCAATCTCACTATCCAACACCCCAGCTGTAGCGTAACAAGGCAGCTATTCCATATTAAGATATATATGCATAACTGCTAAATACTATATTTCTAAAAGTAGCCGTAATAGCTATAATAGCTGTAATAGCAGCAGTAGCAGCAGTAGCAGCAGTAGCAGCAATAGCAGCAATAATAGCTGTTAGCAGTAGTAGCAGCAGCAATAGCAATAATACTGACAGCAGCCCACGCCTAAGCTGGAGAGCTGGATAACAGAATTGGGGTGCTAGATAATGTCTCCCTTGCTTTTGCTTTTTCTTTCTTTCATGTTAGCCGTACCGCACTAATGTACGATTGTGCATGCAACATTACCAACCAGCATGGACCCAATTCAACGTTGTTGCTCGTGCCTCAGCCGCAAATTGCAAATCAATAGTAGTGCCCCGACTCCTTACACGATGGCGGAAGACGGGAAAGACGAGATGGCCGACATGCATGAGTGCCAATGCCGATTTGACGCACGTCAAAAGTGCTAGACTCGCCCTGCTTACTTGTTAGTAAGCTCAAGCTGCCATGTTCTCGTGCCACTTTTTGCCGGTTCATCTGTCCCCAGCCGTTGTCCCGATTCCAGCAGATATCTTGTAAGAGTCTGTCTAGTATTCGCATTCGCATCGGCATCCATATTTCGATCAACCCTCCAATTCCAAATTTACAAAACCCAAGACTGCTTAGTGCATGCTATCGTCATCCATGCAAAGCGAATCCATTCTGCAAGAGGCATTCTGGCACCCATTTCTGCTTGCTCGACTCGAATGGGTGTGAAGCAGCCCAAAAAGACGGCCTCTGGGCATCTTAGCTCCGCATCAAAATCGACGCTAGGCCACAGTGCGCGGCGGGGGATTCGCACACAGTCGATACGCCCCCTCATTGGATTGATGGAAGGCTGATGCTTGCGCAGACAAAGTCCCAACAACGGGCCAATCCTCGCTTTCTATCGCGGCTAACCGCTCGAGGCATCTGACGGCGGGAGGGTTTGGCGGAGCCGTGGCCTGTTCGACGATTGAACAGCAGGATGGAGAGAGACTCGGCGAATGTGGAATCCGGTGGTGCGTTATCGATGAAAGAACATGAACTCCAGTACGCATGCACATGCGAGTGAGAGTGAGACATGCAGACTGTTGAGATTGAAATGCACGACACTGCCGTTGACCAACGCAACACATTGGCAACACGGGCCATTCGGTATCTTCTAGTTAACGGGCCAGTATTTTGTCTGTACAAACTTCTACTTGACCGCGGAGGGCTCCGTATCTGTCCATGGGCATGGCATGGCATACTTAGCATCGTCGCGGAGCAGAGGAGATCGGTGGATATTAGCGGGAAATAACACGCCAGCAGCAACAGCGTCGCAGAGATGCTACAGTACAGCCGGTAGTGGCGGGATACAAGTCACTCGGCCCTCACAAACGAGCACTTGTCGACAGGGAACTGTGAAGCGGGGGATACCTGCTCCACGCTCAGAGATCAAGTCGACGATTAACATTTTGGACCAGGGCTGTTTCTGCCATATCTTGATCTGAGGCCAGCATCCACCGCCCCTCTTCGACTGTCGCGAGATCTAAAAGCGAGATGACAAGAAACATGATGGAGCCATTTTGGCCCTTCGAGTACACGAAAACTCTGGCGCCCTGGCAGCAAAACTCTCGCATCGGTCTTCAGATCTGTAAAATGGCGCTTAGGCACGAGAGCAAGGCTGCCCGGGCCAGCCACAGATCGCCACCCGGGAATGGCACGAAGCCAAAAGCATCTTGGAACCGTTCTCGACTACGGTAACTAGAGGCCGACCGACAACCGGACAGGTATGCAGCTGGTATGGAATATCTACCACTATTGCTAGATAGGGAGCATGGCAAAAAGGGGTGAAAGGTAGAATTGGTCTATGACTTGTGTGAACAATGCATGTCTCAAATCTCTAGGGACGTAAAGGTAATTCTGCCGAAGAGTGAGACACGGCACGAGGTCTAGACATGAACCAAAAATAGCTTTCGACGAGAAATACGCCCCCCCAACGAGCAGCATACGAATATCTATTGAAATTGTCCTTTAGTCAGGCTCAGCGTCTTCAGCCCGCCGCTTCATCGCCGGCGTCGATAGTAGTACTGATGCCAAATACCAATGATGGGACAAAATCATCACCTCCACAACTAAAAGGCAGATCCAGCCAGGGCCCTCCGTGCAGCATCAGCGTAACTAGACCAACCAGGGAAAATCCCAAAATCTGCAATTCGATATTACGTATCATCCCAGAAAATAAAGCCAAAAAGAACCGCATGGCCAAGCATTCGCCTAAAGAGCGCCGGATCTCTGAAATGCAGTCCAGCCCACCCACCGTCACCGAAGCCGAAGCCGTTCCAGCGGTGATCGGTTGCCGTGCTCGGCGCACCTTTTTTGCGCAAAAGAGGGGACGGCCGGGCGGGCATCAAATGGGCAAAAATGACATCAAAACAGCTGACTGACGGCTTCAAAACGTTCGGCGCCTTTTCGAGATCCACATCTCTCCACGGCCCCAGTGTGGGAGTAATAGCGAAGCGAAGTCTGTAGGCAGAAAGGAAACCAAAAAGTACGAGTTTATTCCTTTTGGGACGCCGAATGAGTCGCATGCGCAGATACGGCAAACACGGATTGACTTTTTCTTTTTCCCTTCTTATTTCTCACGTCGGGCCGGCTTATCTTGTATGTGTGTGTGTGTGCGTGTGGCAGCGGCTCGAGTAGAGTTCCAGGAACGTGCTGCGTAAGCAACTTTATTGTCTAAAGCAGATGGTCCTACATCTGGGATACATGC